ATATATATGCAGACAAATTAGGATGCCTAGGTAGAGCTGAGTTTTCCCCCGTAACAACTATAACAACCCTAAAATGCTGTAACAGCAAAATAAGAACGCTACTTAAAACAATGTATTTGCTACACTTGGATAGATATAGGCTAGTTAGAATGCCAAAGTAGGATCCAGCTACAGCTTAGTTGCAATATTCAATCGGCATGCGCTGTCGAAGAAGCGCAGAACACTAGATAATCTTTGCGCCTGAGTTATTAGTACATATATAGAACCAATGGTGCACAGATATACATTGGAGGTTACCAAGGCGAATTGATATATCAATCGCTTATAAAAGAAGCTCTCAAGTAAGGAAGAGCATCCTCCTCCAGTTAAACCGGGACGCAGTAATGCGGTGACTACCAAGACCTGGACTCACCAGTACTAACGTTGACCACCACACGTTGAGCAGACTGAGGATAATACAATAGAGCTGAAGTAGAGAAAGTGAGTATACGCTTGATTACTAACCAGTATTTACTTGTACTTTCAGTGGTCAACTGCTTCAAGCATAGAAATGACACACCATTAAGTATTCGAGGCACTAAGAACAGTGACGATGTTCCTCGGGTAAAATTATCACTCGATCTCTTCGTAATAGGTAGAACATCTCATTAACATTCTATGGATATTTTAATAATAGGAATCAGTCTACCTACGTGTAAGTAGAAGAAAATTGAAGCACGGAAACATTCAAAATTCCTTAGTTCTCTAAACTAAGTTATTCGTAGTTAATATGTATAAGAAAAATGTATACTGGCCATATATAGCTAATATTTTAAGGTAAGAAGACTTAAATTTTTCTTGTGCAAAAATTATTTAGATGTCTCTGAAAAGCCAGAACATAAATATGAAAATAAGGATGGTAAAAAAAATTCAAAGGTTTGCATGTTTTAAATGACTCACTTATTTGAACTTTAAATAATTAATCTGCTTATTAACAACTGTTAACTTTTTCTAATTTGATACTCAGTTTTTTTTTTAACTAATCAAGCATCATTTTGAATACTTTTAAGATATGGCATGAATTACTTGCCTAAATTTAAGAAATTTTCAGGTAATTGTGTTTAAATTTATTTTGTATGAGTCTGGTAGATTAATTCTTGTTTAATTATTATTCACATTGAAAATAAAAAACTTTTAAATATCTTGTCGTAAGCAATGTATAGTCAGCTGAAAATTTAAAAAATTGTTGAAGCTTCATGATTATGATTGAAATCACATAATAATATAATACAGAATGATGTGTTTCAGGTTTACTTGACAAAGATTTGAATTTGAATTTATGAGCGCTTAATACATTGTTCTTCAAAAACAAAATATATTTATTGTCAAGAGTAACCAGATTAGTAATAAGGCATCAACTTTAACGGTGATAGATATAAGAAAAATTCGGGATGCCATCATCTCATTGAAAAAAGAAACTAATTTTATAGGACTAGTTGTTCCTCCAGTTTTGTTGTTCCTCCAACTTTTTGTAGAAAAACCAGGGTCTAATAACCCATATTAGTTTCTCGCGAATTTTACGATTTTAGGTCAGAAGTTAATTTAATGATCTGAGTTTTACATTTAGTAATAAAAAAAAAATTTATTACTTTGAAAAGTTTTAATTTAAATGTTTAAAGTTATTTTTCTTATTCTTATTTATATGTAGTTATTATAACTACATATTAATTTTGTATGAAAATTTTGTATAAATTTTGTATGTAAAAATTCGTACGAAAAAACGTTTACTTGTAAATTGTGTCAAAAACAATAATATATTCATACGGATATGTTTAAACAAATTATGAGACAACAAAGCTCAAATTATCTTCGTACTTAAGTTGTATCTATTATTGTTTTGGCGTTTAACTAAAATGCAAACTAAAGTTTAGTTTTGTTAGATTTGGAAGTTCCACAAAAATTAAATGATATTCTGACTCTTAACTAAATATAACGCTTTTGAGGTCTTATTATTTGGGATGTAAAAATTGTTGTGTGAAATATTTTTTGGATGCACACTGAGAAAGAAGTGGGAGCGGTGATGTACCAGCGGTGGTGAGGTTATGCTCTCATAGTTGTAGGGCGTATGTAGCGCCACTTACGGTGCAACAGGTATTCTACACTCGAAGGATCGCTTGTATCCTGCATGAGTGGGAGCTGTGGCGTCCCACTGGGTGGACCAAATCGCACCGTCAGTAAAATAGCCACATAGGAGACAGTTGCAGTCTCGCCAAGTGAAATTGTATATGCACCGCAAGGGGGGCTCTAGTCTCTTGCTGTGGGACAGCAGCTGCCCCACTCGAGCGGAGATAAGAAGCCCTACTGTTTGGTAAAGCAGAGCTCCTTCGAAAGAGTTCTGCTCTCCCTCTTCTTTCTCAGTGTAGGCTTATTAATTTATAAGATCCAGAAGTACTATAGTTATTTTATTTTAATTATGCTCTGTATCTCTCCCTAATTTACTTCTTTATTTTTGTTGGCATATTCCAGTATGTTAGTAAAATTTTCTCAAATTTATTTTAATACTATGGTACTCAATTCTATGACGTTGTAGAACCAATTTCATGACTAACGTTTGCTAAATTAAAACACGCTTGTAAAATTAGCTTAATAAGACCCCTCCCGGTACGAACTCTCGTTAACTAGCTGATTCAGGTGTACCGGGGAATAATTCGAATTTTTACTTCAACTACAATTTTCAATCTTTTCCAACTGGTCAATATCTCATGTTTGCAACCCGCAGGTTATAAAAAGCAAAAGATTTATCGTATTGCAGTTTAATACGAAAATAGTGTGCAAACTTGTAACACTTCCATCTTATAAACAAAGATGAGCATTTTATAACAGCTTATATCAATCAAAAAACGTTGGTACTAAATACGAGTCTAAGTAGTAGTTCTCATCACAGTCTTTATCACATGAGCACTATCGTCACCAGAGCTATGACCAGGTCTGGAGGACTCTTTTATCGACCCGGTTCGATGGCACTTATATGGTGAGTCTTGCTTTTCCTTCCATAGAAAAAATAAAATCCACTTAAGGCTCGATTACGCTTATTAATAGTTATATTTTTTGGTTTTGCGGACTTTTTTAAGCGTGAGAAGTTAAAGACTCCATACTCTGAATATCAAACAAATTTAAACCGATTTAAAATTGTAGTATCTAAGTTGTTTCAAAAAAAAAATTTGTTTGTAAAAGTATGAGACAAACAAAAAAGCAATGCCCACAGCACATAGCCTGTCACATAATGGTACATTACCATCGACCAATCAACAACCACACTGATTTTCTGCTTATCACTAATTATAAGATCATTAATTCATAGCAGAATTAAATTGTATGATTAAGAAGGAAACAGAGGAAAGCCAAATGATAATACTGAAGAGGTAGAATCGTTTGAAAGGTTAGAAATATATTAGTACCACTAACGTACTTTTCAGCTTCTATCTTTGCCTTGCGCTCAGCCTCTTCTTTCTCAGCTTTTTGCCGTGCTTCTTCTTCACGACGCTTCTTATCCTCCTCCTCACGGCGCCTTGCCTCTTCAATCGCCTGCTTCAGTCTTTGCTCCTCTGCTTCACGAGCCTCTTGCACCAGTCGCAGCGTTTCCTCCTCAAGCCGGCGCTGTTCTTCTTCTTCGGCACGAAATCTTTCAGCCTCCAAAGAAGCTAGTTTTTCCTGCAAATTAAATGTCAGTATAACCACATATATCAATAAATTAGCTAGCTAGAAAGGAGTCACTAGTACTAAAAAAAAAATTGTTTGCTCTAGTTTTTCTTAGATTTGATTTTTTTCTTTTCTATGAACTCATATTTAACTTATAAAAATAATCGTTAAGTTAAAATTTGAATTACGCACCAATCGTTGCCTTTCAACTTCAGCTTCTCGCTCAGCCTGTTCACGTGCTAATCTTCTACGTTCTGCAAGAGCGGCTTTGGCTTCCTCTTCCGTCATGATTCGAAATTTTTGAATCATTGAGGCTATAAAAATTTCATTGAGCATAAATGTTACTATCATCCTTAGATGATTACAAAAAATTTTTTTATCGCATGAGTATCATAGTTTTTCTTTTTAAATAAAAAAAAATTAAAAGTTTTAATCTAATTCTTCAGTGCAAAGTAAGTATTTTCTAAATGATGTGGAATTTTTATTATATTTCTCAGCACTATGCAAAATTTCTATAATACCTAAGTAACAGTAAATTATTGAAATTCTACTTTCTAAACTTTAATATATTACTTTGCTAGGGCTCATACTTTTTTATCTGCCATAGACTTATACTGGAATCAAAATCAATGCTCTAGAGACTTTGATCTATTTATATTTATATTTCTAAATATTGTTATGTATAAAGATTGAATGTACCATACTTATGTACTATTACTCATACGAAATATTTTCAAACTTTTGCACAAGGTGACTTACATGAAGATTGCTCTGTGCAGCAAAGTTAGTCAGCTCACGGCCACTAAATAGGACTCTTCTCCATCAGCATTGAAGCCTTTGCTCTAAAATTATTGATCATGGGACTGCAGCTATTTTATTCGTTGTGTAATTGGTTGAAACAGGTTAAGAGGATTGTTTAGCAGGATTTAGTTAGCTATGGGATCAGTCAGTTAGGACCGTTCCCTTAGAAGACAACAGGAGCTTAAGTGAGGGAGGAAAATGGAAAAAACAGAGAGTTTCGGAGGCTATCTCATTCTCAAAGTGATGAGAGGAGGGGCACTTACGCATCTGGGTGAAGCTCGAATATTGGCTTGCACCGGAACAGTATGATGTAAGAGTGTTTATCAAAAGTGTAAGTTTTCAATTTGTCTGCTACAATTTTCTCCTTAAAATGCAATCTAACTTTATAAAACTGACCTTTAAACAAAAATTAAAACAGAGGTAAGTTTGATGAGTTTAACTGATGTTTTTTAATGAAATTTTGTCGACCCTCATAAAGTGGCAATATAGTATATTCTATTTAAGTTAGCCTTTTTAAGTTCTGAAATATAAATCTATGAGTGGTCAAGCTTTGTTTTATTTTATTGGCACAGTTTACTTTTTGTATGACACTCTAGGTCATTAACAAAATCAAACTAAGTAATATTGGCCATTGACTGATACTTTACGCAAACTTCATATTTAATAGATAAAAATAATATTTTAACGTTCCCATATACTTATGACATGGGAAGATCCGAATGTATTTAATGTTTGGTTTCAATTTCGTTCTAGTCAAAAGTCGATATTACTTAGTTTAATTTGGTTAATTTACGAGTGTCATACAAAATGAAAGCTGCGTCAAAAAACGAAACAATGTTTGACCGTTTCCAGATGTTGATAGCTAAGAATATCATAATTTTTTTAGGGAAATATCATTTCTTTATATTTGTTTTCAAGAAGTGCATTAAACTGAATATTACTCATATTAAGAAGTACTAGACGTAAACAAATTAGATATAAGGTAGCTACGGTGTACTACACTAGTTCCACTAAATTTATCCTAAAAACTGTTTGAATAGAGATCTTAACAAGACATGAATAGAGGCTTGGTTAAACATAGAAACAGCTCTAAGTTAAATCGAATAAATACACTTTCTTCAAAATTACTTTGTGCATTGCAACACCTCACTTTAAAACCTCTATATGTTATTTATACGACTAGCTTTTATCATTGTGTCTTTCTATAAATTGATGACATCCAAACATTCCAAATGACAGTTATTAACCATAAATTACTTTAAACATCAGTAATAATTCAATTTTACCGTTAATAATAAAAAGTATTTTACAAAAAATACTTTTTATTACTTCTAGCTTTTTCCATGACAATTAATAAATCACAAGGTCAAAGATTTGATAAATTAGGATTTTACTACAACAGACCTTTGTCTTCTCATGGTCAGCTATACGTATTGGTATCAAGATTAAAAAATTCTGAAAATATATTTATGAATACTAAATGATCCAGATAATCAATCGAACATTAAAAATTTTGTATGGCAAAGAATTTTTGATCGTCAATTGATTCATGTTTTTTTGTCCAAGTGTATTCCTTATAATTTTTCGTCTTTTCTTTAAGGAATTTAGTTTTGAAATATGTGAAATGCACCTTAAAGTTACACTTTTAAAAAGTCAAAACACAAAAATAAATGACTTATTCATTACAACGCTGTATTTTAAAATTTTAAACATGAAAAAAAAGAATAGGAAATACCNAAAAAAAATTTTCTTTTCAGCAGCAAGAGACTTCTAGTAAGCGACTTCCGTTTTATGGAAATCTGTCGTTTTTAAAATAAGCCCCCGAGCGCGCGACATGAAAAATAATTAAATAAACAATTTATCATTAGTTGAATGTATTATCAGTGAATGCATATGAAAATGAAATATTACAGTTACGCACCACACGATAAGTACAAGAAACTGAATTTTTATAATCAGCAGCGCTCGTAGCAGAGTAGGTCTAATTTCGCATTTAAAATTTTATAATTATAAAAATTGTAGTCAATTTTTAAACGCAAACTATACAATAATAAAAATTTTATGATTTTATTTTCTGTGACAAAAACTATTTCTGTGTAGCAAAATTAAATAATTGACTGTATAAACGTATATAAAAGAGTAGTAAAAGCTTTATGAAAATAAAAAAGATGAGGCAACTGTTAAATAATAGCAAAGTTTTTGTTGAATACGTAAGCAAACTAACTAGTGAATAGATGTAAGCTAAAAAATAATTAAATAAATACTGTAAGCTCAACATCAACGAGGTGTAATAGAAAATCGGGAGAGTAATAGGACACGGATTAGTTGGTTAATTGACCCGTTTCAATTCGTTGTCGTTAATTGAGTAATCATAGTGTGATGTGATTTGGCTTTTATTAACTTATAAAACCTTGCACTTATCTTTATGAACTAAGAATCAGCTGCTGAAGCGCCACAAAGCTGCATTTAAGAGATTGGACTGCAGAAGTAGAGAATCTGAATGTGAAGAAATACGATCAAAAATTTTTATGCCATCTGTGTAGATTAGGCAAGATGATTCAGTGAAGAGTGCTCAAATAAGACTGTTCATGACCAATAAAAATAATAGCAAACCAATACACGAGCTCTGTGATACCCAAAAGGTGGCATAATACACTCATCCAGTAAGGCACCAAGAAGGCCAACTCTCAACGTTCTGGCTGTAAGAAATGAGGCCAGCCATCAAGGAGTATCACCGACACTAATAGAGTAAGCCTAAGTGAGAAGTATGTCATGGGAAACACTATCAAAAGCTTTAGCCACGTTCCGGAAAATTATTTTAACTCGTGCATCTGAATCAAATGCAGATGAGACAAAATGGCTAAGCGTTAATAGGTTTGTAACGGCGAAGCGACCCTCAGCAAATCCGTGCTGTTGTTATAAGATACATGGTGAAAGAAGAGCAGATCTTTTGTGTACTAAATGATCAAGCAGATTTGATATGGGACTCGGCAGAACGATAGGTCTATAGTTATTAGCCAGTTATAAGTTTTCGGATTTGTAGATGGAAAATATACTTATCGGTTTCCAAGCACTTGGAGAGACGCCTTCAGCCAGAGATTTAGAGAAAAAAATGTAAGTGGGCGACAGATACTTAAAGAACCACTAATTATGATAGAGTATGGAATTAGGCCTGAGTCTGATTGGTTTGAATTTTTCAATTGTAAGATAGCAACAAGAATATTTGAAAGGGTGAAAGTATGGTCAATGTATTTGGAGCGCTCACGGTAACAGAAAGAATAGATGAAGGTTGCTTATAAACTCGGAAAAAATGAAAAAATGAAATAAAGTATGAAAAAAAATAAAACAAGGAATAAAGAAAAAAAAAGAATAAAAAAAAACCAACAAACCTGGGGGGATAAATGGGTCATGGGACCCACGGTAAGAACGAAGTTCTTTAAACATGAGATGAGTATAGACAAAATTTCTCAGGTAACAAGGGGGTCGCCAGACCCACATGAAGAACGAAGCTCTGTAAACATTAGTACTGCGTTCATGTTGTTTACTAAAACAAAAACTCTAAAAACAAATAAAAAAATAAAAGAAAATATTTTACTACTCACGATGGTTGAACTTCGTGAGAACGTCGTGCATAAATACAGTACTAACGAAGATAAACCATCGTCAGTAGTAATCTTTTTTTTTTTTTTTTTTTTTTTGCAAGACTCGCGATCGAATCGAAAAAAAAAAATCTGCGGTTGTGATGGGCCAAGTAATATGGGGAGGGGAGGATGGCAGTAAAAAAAAAGTATAAACAGGTATCACCAGAAAGAGCGTGATACATTCGGGGGTGCATTCGTCGTTGCTGCGGCAGTGTGTTACGGCAGTGGCTTGACACATAAGAGGGGGGGGGGGGGGGGGAATNTTAAAAAAAAAATCACGTAATTAAAATGTCGGGTAGACTTTGTATTAGTTTATATATTTGTAACAGTTAACTTTTTCTGACGTTTTCGCAAAAACACATTTTAACTACGATGTTTTTTATATTCGATTGTTAATCTCACAAGTCCATTATTTCGTAGATATTAAGTCAATATAATGCTCAGAGGATTAGTGCGCAGAGTGAGCAGGGCGCGAAGCCCCACTTATATATATTATGGGCTATCTAAACAACTATATTATATAATATAGTTTCTTATATAGGGCATTTTACACAAACCCTCTACGGCTTCTTACAAACTCCAACAGACCCCCTACAAAATAAGGTAAAATTCTGTCGTTCTCTCTCTTATTTGAACTTTGCTCACTTCTTGTCTAGATAACCACCAACCCTTCACAGTTTTCCACTACCTTTTATAGCCCACATACCCACATCACACTCAGAAGAATTTTTGTTAACCCCTATTTATACTACCCGTAATTTTGTGGAATTTTACCGACACCTTACTAACTATTACGGACCCCGACACCTTTCCACACAAATAAATGTATACATACTATTCTATTATTAAATTTAATTAGTTTGCCAATCCCG